CATGAGACAAGTGCTCGGGCCTGGTGCACTGGGAAGACCCAGAGGGATCGGGTGGAGAGGGAGGTGGGAGGGGGGACTGGGATGGGGAATACATGTAAATCCATGGCTAATTCATTTCAATGTATAACAAAAACTACTGTAATGATGTAAAGTAATTAGCCTCCAACTAATAAAAATAAATGGGGAAAAAAAAAAACAACAGAAAGGGGTGTGGAGGCATCACGTGGATGCAGGCTGGTGAGTCACGTGACTGGAGTGGTCAGGTGATAACCTTGGGTGCCCGTGCAGGAGAGATGGCAACAGTGAGAGAAGTATTGAGAAGGGAGAGGCAGTAGGATGATCAGCTGGACACAGTGGTCAAGGAGAGGTGGGTAGGCCAACAATGACTCCCAGTTTCTGGTTCAGCCAACCTCGGGGATGGAGGGACTGTTCTCTCAGGCAGAGAACAATGGGCTTTTTGAACCTGCTGTGTTGGGAGTACTTGAGAAACGCCAGGTAGAGACAGGGGATCGGCAGCAACGTGCGGAAGTCTGCAGCTTGGGGTGGCAGCCTGGGCTGCACAGGTAAATGTGGGAGTCGTCAGCATATGGAGGCTAGTTGATGCCGTGGGTGTGGAAGAGTTTGCTTACTGAGAGATGAGAGTGTGAGAAAGGAAAGGAGGCCAGGACACAGCCATAAGGAACTCCAACACTTAGAGATCAGGCGAAGAGCCAACAAAGAAGGGTGCGAGAGACAGAGAAGTCTAGGTCGTCCTACAAAGAAAGCCAAGGCAGAGAGGTTTAAGAAGAGGGAATAGAGAAAATAAGAGTGATGAAGGCTTTTTTCCCCCTGTAGTGTCAGGGGTTGCTGAGAAGTCAAGGATGATAAGGACTGAAATATGTCTACTTGATTTAGACAGGGAAGTTACTAGCTGCATTGGAGTTTGGGGGGCAGAGGTCACCCTGAAGTCAGTTGAAGAATGCATAAAAAACTAAAGACATTGAGACAGCAAGCATACAAAATTTTATAAAAAGTCAAGAGGGAGTGACCAGCTCAACCTGGGGAATTTAGAGAAGGCCCCTAAGCATAAGAGAAACATTGAGATGGGTCTTAAAGTATGGGTTCACTGCATTGGAAATGGGGAAAGTGGGTAAGAGAGGTCAGTCTAGGTGGAAGGTTCATTCAGCATGTCTGAAGCACCAAGGTATGGAAAGACATGGATGGTACACGCAGCAGTGAGAAATGTCCCTTTATTAGATTGGCCCTCAGGGTGAGGCGTTACATATCAACACTCTCCTGTTAAAAATGTAAATTCCCCTGTAATTATTATTCAGTATGATATTAGTGTGAATTAACTTAGCAAATGGTCTTCTCACAGGCTTTGGGAAGCAGACAGATAAGTATCAGCACAGAAGAGCAGTCAGGGCACCGTGCTTTGCATTAGGAGGTTGATCTGTCTGGGGAACAGAGCGGGTGGGCAGCCCCAGACAACCAGGAAATACCGTGAGAACTTTTTGTGCCTGGGGTGACAGTGCAGAGAATTTTGTTTATTACTTCAAAACTATCTGCCAGGTCAGATCTGGCAAAA